AATAAATAAAGCAAGCAAGCTTGGCACCTGCCTCTGCTAAACTTCGTTCTGTTATGCTCTGCCATGGCCTGGCTGGTCCAGATAACTGTACATTCTGCTTCCGTGGTATGACTGGCCGGCCCACCCGACGTCGTTCCTCCAGGAGTCTGGTCAGCACTTCCCCGCCTCCTCCTCTGCTGATGAATAATAACAGGCCCCAAGACTAACCCGGCGGCATCCCGACCAGCCCTTCCACCCAGTCTGACGAGGGAGCAGTGAACAGTGCTTTTCCTCCAGCCAGCAGGTTTAAAAATAAAAATAATGGCGCCTCGCAAAAACATCACCAAAGCGAGTGAAAGGAAACAAGAGAAAGGATACACTAAGATGTATCTTAGTATAAGATCCCCACTAATTTGGGGATAAGATTTGAAAAGATGGATAACACCCATTACATATATATTATAATCTCTGCATTCATACGTAATGGAGATTATTAAAAATGATTATGCCTATGCGTAGGCACACCAACTATCCATCTGTTTGTCCGTTTGTAGATTACACCTAAAGGCCAGCGGTTGAAAAAATCGAAAGCTTCATTAAACCCTCCACTCGAGGTGCTATTTCAGGCGGCCCACTGATCCCTGCAGTGCTGTGTTATTGGCCTTTTTGCTATCAAGAGGGAGTGGAGAACCCGTTTAATCAACTTTTCATTGAAGTCCAAGGAATGGGTGGGTCGTTCAAAAGAACAAATGAATCCTTAAATACAGGGACCCACCTCGCAAGAGCGCCATCCAGCCCGTGCTGAAACGGCCTGCGGAGCAGAATATAATTGGGCACTTTGTCACATGCCTGGCTAAAATTAAGATATATTATGTCCACAGCACTTCCACATTCTACTAAGGAAGTTACCCAGCTGAAAAATGAAATAAAATTAGTCTGGCAAGCCTTGTCTGTAACAAATGCCCCATCTTGCAGGATTTATTGTTCTCCATAGCATGAATCGATTTCATACTCATATATGAAAGTAGCCGCTCTGGAGTGAATGCCACCGGTTACAGATCGCTCTGAGAGTCAGCACAATCCAGCAAGTTTCACGGCCAGCTTATCCGAGGCTCTCGGCAGTGGCGGCAGAGAGTCACTGCGAGGAGCTTGAGAAAACAATGCCTGCCTGTTCCAGGCCCCCCGTCACGAGGACCCCCTCCTCAGCATCCCGTGTGCCAGTATTTCATAGCTGCCCCACACACCCACGCCCAGGCGGCCTTCCAAGCCTTCTCCCACCCCGAGCCCTTCCACGAGGCGCAAGGGCCTCGTGTGACTCGCCGTGCTGTCCTGGTGGAAGCCGCAGATTTCTGCTTGCACCTGCCTGGTATGCCTGACCTCCTCCCTCAGTCCTTGGCGACACAGGTGAGGCCCTTGTCTCTGATTTTTGGAATCCATCCCTTCGCCCTCTGGGCAGCCGGTGCTCCCCTCTCCACCACTCGGCGTCATTCAGAGGGGAACTGATCCCCCGGCTACGATTTGGGCAGGAGCGAAATGCCTGGACTCTAGTTGTGAGAGAAGGGGGGCTGGCTGGAGAGGACGGGTCCGAGCCAAGGCCACCCCTTCTTGGCGTGGCAGGCAAGGGGGCCACCCAGCTGCCCTTCCCCTTCCCCCCGATCCTTCCGCAGAGGTCCCGCTGGAGCAGCCTCCCCAGACCTGGTGCCCCCAGGTGTGTTGGATCATTCCCAGGCAGACTGCCCCAGTCAGGCCTGGCCTGGCCTGGCCTGGCCTGTCTGATGGGCCCCTGCCTGGGCAGGAGGAAGCCCGGCACCCCTCCTGCGGGGGGATCCCGTGGGCAGCTGGTCGGCCACCATGTGGTGGAGGGCTGGGCTGGACAGACCGTGGTTTGCTCCGGCAGGGCTGCTCTGATGTTCTCGGAAGGCTTTGGGCTCATTCGGGGACACAAGAATACATTCGGGGGAGGGGCAACTTCACTGAAGAGTCTCAAGAAGTGAGATTCTTGCAAAACATGACGCTGCTGCTGGGCGAGAGAGGAGGCAGGCAGATAAAGGAAGCCCTGGAGGCTGGGCCAGCGGCCCACGGCTCCGGGTGGCCATCGCTGGACCTCGAGGCTTGCGCTGGAGGCTCCGAAAGCGAGGCCGGCAACGGTGGCAACAGCAGCACCAAGCCGGGGAGGAAGGACAGGGCTCTGTGGCAGCGCCGCCAGTCCCGGGGCTCCGCTGGGCTGGTCCTGCAGGGTCCCATTCCCCTCGCCAGCAGGAAGGGGCTCTCTGGGCAGACTTGCGAGGGTCAAGGAAGCCCGAGGGCAATGGAGGAGGAGGGCTTTCCTATCCAGTTTGGAATGTGGGGGGGTGTCTATCCCCCATGGCTCTGTCACCCCCACCCCGATTTTCCCATTTTCTTCCTGGGCCCTCCCACCTCCCACTCCGGGGTTGCTGCTGCAGCCCACGATGCTGCCGGCCCTTTCTGCCACCTCGGGGCGACTTACTAGCCCCCGCGGCTTGCTGTGCCCCCGCCAAGCCCCGACCGGCCAACAGCGAGCTGGCTGACCAGCCCCCCTCAGGGAAACGGGCGCGCCCAGAGGGGGCATTCCTGGCGAGGGCTCCTTCCCGAGGGCTCCTTCCCGCTCGCCCGCAGGACCTCCAGATGGACGCGTGGCCACCTGTGCAGGGGGACGAGCGAGGAGGTTGTGCCACGAGCGACAGGCCTTTCCTGACCACTGGTTGACGTGTTTATTCAGGGCTTGCCTTTCCCCAAACGGCACCAAGGCGGCGAACACGAAGCCGTATGTACAAGTGAACGAACGGATGCGTGTTCCAGAACCAGAGGCAGCAGGGGGAAGCCTTGCCTGCCCCGCCGCCTCCTCTCCTCTTGCAGTCGGGGCTCCGGCTCAGCTGACGAGTTGGCCCTCCATGGAGCAGAGCAGCGGCCGAGGATCCTGCCGCACGGATCACACGTTTGACTCGACGACGGATTCGAGGACGGATTCCGGAGAGCTGTGTTGAATGGCCTCCTCCCGGCGTTCCTGCTTCTCCTTCCGACGGACAATGTAGTAGACCACACAGTAGGACAAGAAGGAGCAGGCCCCAAACAAAATTTGTGCCCCGACAAACCTGGGGGTCCGCAGCAGAAGAGGTGGGTCAGCCAGGCTGGGGGAGCCCGACTGCAGCGCCCGCCTGGCCTGCAGGGATACGACCTGCTGGAAGAGCCTCGCCCACGCCCCCCCTTCAGAGCAGGTGCCAGGAGGCCTGAGCTCTGGGGCGGCTTGGCCGGTTCTCCTCCTGCCCTCAAGGCATGCAGCGCACGGCTGAAGGATGCGCCGGACGGATGCCCCCAGCGTGCCTCTGGGGCCCTCGGATGCCCTGCCAAGGAGCGCCTCCTCCTCCTCCCCCCTCGGGGGCCAGTCTGCCCCTGGCACCGACCTGCAGTGCAGCTGCAGAGGCAAGGCAGACGGCCCGGGGGGTGCTGGGGGGCTGCCGTGGGGCTTCACTCAGGGCCCCACGTGGGAGAGTCTGACCCAGAGGGAAGCGGCTCTCCTCCCTCCCGGAGCCTCACCCCATACGTCGGCAGTGCCGCCTCCGTCCGCGCCTCGCCCCCGCCTCCCTCGCCGGCACGTGCTCCGGGAGGGGCCGCACCCTGGCCTGGCGGATCCTGATCCTGTTCCGGGGCAGAAGGAAGACCTACCTTTGCCGCAGGAGCGTGTTGTTGTAGTATCTGCAGGCGGCCCGGTCGTTGCACTTGGTCTGCCACAGGAGGCAGGTCGTGTCGATAGTCTTGCCGTACAGCATCGGGGCAGGCAGCCAGGCTGGAAAGACGTGGGGCCCCATGGGTCAGAGGCCAGCTCCCCGGGCCCTGCCCCGCCCCGCCCCGCCCCACAGCGCCTCGCTGCCATGTCGCAGGCTTTGGAAAGAACGAGGATCCAGAAGTCCTCTGCTGCCACTGGATGATCAGCGGGGAAGTGCCCCCGGGACCCACGGCTAGACATGCGCTTCTCTGAATGCGCAGTTCAGCCCCTGGTCCCCCCCCCGAATGCACTGCTGTGCCCCACCCTCGCCTGTGACTGACCAAAAAGCCTCAGCAGCAGGAACTGTATCCCGATGGCGAAGGATTTATCTTCGGGCTTGACACTCCTGGAAGCAACAGAAAGGGCGTGGGAGCCGAGCGGCACGCTTGCGGGAGGCCGCGCACCTGGGGGTGTGGGCGGGCAGGTGACCAGCCGCAGCGTTACTGACGGCACCAAGGTCCGGCTTCGTGTGCACGCGCATCGTGGGCCATGGAGCTACGCAAGCGGCGTTGTGCCTCCACAAGGGCAGGCCCAGTGCTCTGCGCAAGACGCTCCTTCCCCCGGAAGCCCCTCTCAGGGCGCCTGGCCGGCGGCACTCCTGTCCTGCTCTGACTTTTCAGGCCCTTCCCATGAATCGTACGCCACTCCTTTCCGGGAACCCTGCAATCTGCAGCCCCTCCGCCCGGGCCTTCGCAGGGGCTCACCCCTCGTCCTCCCCGGCTGTCCCCTTCCCACCCTGCCGTGGTGGCTGTCCGGACCGCGGCCTTCCGGTGCCTTCCTGCGAGGGCGACGGGCGAGACCCCAGCTGGGCCTTCCGCCGAACTGGCTCTTCCCAGCCCTTCTGCGTGTCGGGCGGCCGTGTGAATGGAGGGGGTTCCCAGCAGAGCCCCACACAGAGAGGAGGTGGCAAGACAGGCTGTCCCTACCTGAGGATGACCACAAACGACGGCGTGTGCGTGAGGGTCCCGGCGAACCCGGCGAGGCAGGCGATCATAATGAAGGGCATCAGGAAGTGGGAGCAGCGTGTGCTGCAGCTCCCGGGGGCCGCGCGTCCGGCGGTGCCGTTCAGGACAATGCAGCTGCATCCAGTGTAATTCTGCGGGGGGGAGGCAGAAGTCAGGAAATGGGGGGGCGGGACAAGACCAATTCTGGGGGGGCACGCCACTGCAAAGCTGATCTTCTTTCCGTCCCCTCCTCCTATGGCCACCTCGGAAGTGTCCTCACGTGGTCAGCAGGGCCCACCGAGACGAAAAGGTAAACAAGCCCCCACGATTGAAGACGTTGGCAAAACTTCACTGAGCGGCGCTGACCCAACCCTTTTTAAAAATAAAAAGCGCCCAGTCGCAATGCAGAGGCTTTCGGCATCGAGGCCGAGCTGGCGAGACGGGCTCCCCAGGCGCTCAGGCGCACGCTGGGATCTTTCCCGGGAGCTCTCCTCGGGGCTCCCCCACCGTCCCGCGGGCTCCTCCTGGGGAAGCGCCTGGCCCTGCGATGCTCCCCCTCAACTTCTTTTGCTTCGTGCCGCTTTGGTAGACCTACCAGCCATGGCAGTCGTTACAAGGCTGACTTCCTTTTGCTGTGCTTTAAGTGTAAGCTGAGTTGAGTCATTTTAAGGTAGTAAAAGATCAGATAAAGTAAGAAATGAAAGCCAGCTTTATCAGTCCGGCCAGCTCATTATTAAATGAACCTTGAAGCTGCTCAGGAAACCCTTTCAGGGGGAAGAACAGAGTATGGATCCCTGCAGACCAACTTGCCCCCCGAGCAGGGATGGCGTTCCAGTGTCCTTCGTAATGCTCTGGGATCTCAAAATGGACAGGGACGGATGCATATAAATGGTGGTGGTGGCGGCGGCAATAATACTAGGAATAAACCAATAATTTGACTTCTGTATTGCCCAGTAGCCAAAGCTCGCTGAGCAGTTTACAGCAAACAACACGTTTTTGTTGCCCACCTAACTTCCTAAGCGTGGCCTGCAGTGTGGGAGAGCCCACCGCCTCCCCGGCCACGGGTTCCACTGCCACGCTGCAGGACGGGGGACACGTGGCCACTTGGCAACCAACTGTCTGGGCTTCGCCCTTCCTCTCCCGCCTGGCTGAGTGAAACCAGACTCACGCCGGGGGGATCGTCTTCCTTCACTTCCACCCCATTTCCACTGGCAGCGGCTCAGGGGGGTGGAAAAGCCGTGCAATGCTCGCGTCGCAACCTGTTTAGCTACATGTGACGGGGGAGATGCCGGAGGAGAGGTGGGCCAGCAGCCACGGTGCTCTGCAACGTGCAGTTATGCCCCGCAAGCTCCTTCTGAAGGTTGGGGAAAGCGCAACACAAACTTTGGAAGAGGACGTGTGCAAAAGAGGGAACCCTGCACGAGGACGCGTGCAAAAGAGGGAACCCTGCACGAGGACGCGTGCAAAAGAGGGAACCCTGCACGAGGACGTGTGCACGATTGATCTGGACCCCTGTGAGTTCCAGGCTCCTGATGAGCTCCAAAATTCAGCCGAGACGGACGAGCATTTGGTGCGTGGCCAGGAATGGAGATGTGGTGCTTTCATGGTTCCTTAGAGCTGGCAAAAGCCATGACTTGAGGGGGGGCTTTTCACTTGCCACCCCTGAGCCGTCAGACCCTTGCCACTCTTTCAAATGCCACAGCAAATCAGTGTGTTGCAGGAAGAGGGCTGCTCACCCGGAGTTGCAACACCGGACTTGCAACCTTCCCGATCAGGGGTGGCTCTGGTTTCTTCAGGCCTCGCCTGGAGATGCAAATGCAGGCGAGGAACCCTGGAGGCCACAACATGCAACATGCAGAAGCAGCTTCGGCAGAAGACAGTTTGGAGCGGAGGAGTGGGCAAGCATGCCCCCTGCCCCACTCAAAATCCCCCTTTGCCCGCCCCACTCCCCTCTCCGAATGCGACTTACCACAGCCTTGTTGGCCTCGTAGTTGAAGCTCCGCGCGGAGCAGCCGGCGTGGCACGGGGAGAGGTATTCCACGCCGTTCTGGCCACAGACGGGGTTGAACAGGGCGGAGGAGCAGTTGCAGTGGCGGCTGCACTCGGCCGCAGGCAGACCCACTGCGGAGCTGCGGAGGGAGAGGGGCTCGCTGTGAGGCCTGGAGGAGGCCCGGGGCCATGGGGCGACCCGTCGCACGGCTTGCCTAGGAACGCAGCCTTTGCTTCTGTGGCACGGGAGGCAGCATCCCAGCAGAGGCGTCCCTTTCGAGGGAAAGAGAACGCGGCGTGCCTCTCCGAGGGCAGCATCAGTCGCCCATGGCGCTGAGAGCTCTGGCATGGAATGTAATGGACAGTCTAAACAATTCCGCTGCCCAGTTTGCTGGGCACAAGAGATTTTCTCTCCCAATTAACGAAGCTAATTAATTGACTAAAACATGCAACTCTGCTAGCTGTCTGTCTACCTAGCTGACGTCAATGGCCGTGCTGACGTGGTCTGGTTTACTGGCTGAGCTCTCTGCTGCCAGGACTCCTCCCTCCTCGGGCGCTTTCAAGTCCGGAGCGCCTGCCAGTCCTGCTTCCACAAACAGGCCACGCCAAAAGGCGATCGGCCACCGTGGGAAAATATGCCACGCAGAGTGACGGAGGCAGGATCAGCGCCGGGCAGGGCTGTGGTTGCTCACAGGGGACCCTGGCTAACTGGCTGAATTGTTTGCGTGTGGGCGAAGCCGCATCAGGCGCCACCTTGAGCCCCGATCCTCTGCATTCCTGCCATGAGGGGAAGCTGGGTCCCTTCATGCCTCTTGCCCACTGAGTCACCAGTGAGCACCTTCAGCAAGAGTATTCTGAAGCCCCGGCGTGAGGGCCTGGGCGAGGAAGGCCAAGCAGAACAAGGCCTGCCCAGGCGCGCGCAGGAAAGAGCCGGGCACCCGAGGAAGGAGAACGAGGTGGACGAGGAACGTCGGGGGTCAAAGGAAGTCTCAAGGGCATTCCAGTGCTCTTTAAAAAGACGCTTGAGGCTTCTGATGCAGCTGAACGAGGGCAAAGGAAGGGGCAAGTGGACCCTTGGGCCCGGGCAGTCCAGCTGACCCATGCCCGGGCGCTGCGCGACGGCTGCGGAGGCGAGGCGGAAAGTGTGAGCAAAGTCACCCAAAGGAAGGTAGAGAGGAGCCCCGGCAGGAGGAGACCCTCGGCCTCGGAGGCCTGCTCCGTCCTCTAACCTAGGCTGGGGGGCTTCCTGCAAGGGGCTATGAGGGGCCAGCATACCTTCCAGAGCTGTCAAGGCCGGCAACCGCCTGGGTCGAGCAGCCCAGGAAGAGGAGGGGCACGTAGAAGAGGAGGCAGGTGCTCATGCTGGCGATGCACATGATGGCGGCCTTCCTGATGCCGAGGCGGCAGTTCTTCATGATGGCTCCCCCCAGGATGATTCCCAGCATGGCGCCCGGGATATTGACGGTGCCTGTGGAGGGGAGAAACATAGAAACAGAGCGAGTCAGGAGGGATCACCCAGGCCATCTAGTCTGACCTCTGGCACCAGCCGGCTCCGCTCACGACATGCCCACCACGTGTGCTTCCAGCCTATCCTTGAACACCCGCACCGATGGGGCCTCAACAACCTCTTGTGGAAGCCCATTCCACACCCTCGGGGTCCTGACTGTCAGGAAGTGCTTCCCGGCATCCAAATGGAACCTTGGCTCCCTGAGCTTGGCTCTGTTGGAGCACATCCTGCCTTCCTCTGCAGGGGAGAACAGGTCTCTACCCACCTGTGTGTGACACCCCCTCACGTACCTGCATGTCACCAACAGGTCCCCTCTGAGTCTCCTCTTCTCCAGGCTGAAGAGACCCAGTTCCCTCAGTCTCGCCTCATATGGCATCCCCTGCAAACCGGCCACCAACCTTGTGGCCCTTCGCTGCTCTGACTCCAACCTGGCTATATCCGTCCTGTAATGAGGGGCCCAAAACTGAACACAATACTCCAGTTGCGGGCGCACCAGAGTCACATAGAGTGCTAGTGATACCTCTCTCGATCTGGAAGCCACACTTCCGGCTATGCAACCAAGGGTGGTGTTCGCCCTCTTGACCACCGCATCACACGGCTGGCTCATGTTCAGCCTGCAGTCAACCAGCACCCCGAGGTCCCTTTCACAAGTGCTGCTCTCCAGCCACTTGTCCCCTAACCTGTACTTGTGACACCCTTTCCTATGCCCCAAGTGCAAGACCTTGCACTTATCTGCATTGAATGTCATCCTGTTGTCTCCTGCCCACTTCCATAGTCTGTCCAGATCCTTTTGGATCTGGAGTACCTGCTCCTCAGTTGTGGCCACTGCCCCAGTTTTAGTGTTGTCTGCGAATTTGATCAGCAGACTGTTCACCCCTTCTTCCATGTCGTTAATGAAAAGATTAAACAGGATCGGCCCCAGGACAGAGCCCTGGGGGACCCCACTTGTCACTGGCCACCATCCCGATGATTCCCCACTAATGGTTACCTTCTGCTTTCGGTCAGTCAACCATGCCCTAATCCACCAGACAGTGCTTTGGTCTATCCCAAAACACCTCAGTTTCTCCACCAGGATATCATGGGGCACTTTGTCCAAGGCCTAGCTGAAATCCAGGTATACCACATCCACTGCATCCCCTCCATCCAGCCACCTCGAAACCTTGTCATAGAATTCCACAAGGTTTGTCTGGCAGGGCCTGTTTTTGGGGAAGCCGTGTTGTGTGGCTGCCAGCCTCCCTTCCCTATCTAGCATCACTAGATCTCTCTCTATTATGAGCCTTTCCATTGTTTTTCCTACAATGGACGTAAGGCTAGCCGGTCTATAATTCCCCATGTCCCTTCTACTACCCTTTTTGAAGATTGGGACCACTGATGCCACCCTCCAGTCCTCTGGAACTTCACCCCTTCTCCACGAGGTCTCAAAAATGGAGGCCAGCGGGCGTGAGAGAACCCCTGCCAACTCTCTAAGTACTCTCGGGTGTAACCGTCAGGGCCTGGCGCCTCTGTAATGTCCAATGCCCTGAGGAGCCCCTCAACTTCAAGGGGGGGGGGGTGACTCTAATCTGTGCCCCTAAGTCCCCGGCCTCATCTCATCTCCTATGAGGATCTCCCCCATCCTGCTTTGGGGAGAACACAGAGGCAAAATAGTCATTTAGCATCTGTGCCTGTTCCCTCGTATCAGTCACTGGATCTCCTTCCTCCTTATTTAGTGGTCCCACCGCTTGTCTCCCCTTCCTCTTCCTATTTACATGCTGAAAGAAGCCCTTTTTGTTGCTCTTGATATTCTTGGCAAGCCTCAGCTCGAAATCAGCCTTAGCCTTGTGAAGAATCCTTCTGCAACGGGCCTCCTCCTCCTGGTATACCCTTTTGTCTATTTGCCCCAGTCCCCATTTCCTATGGAGGTTCCTCTTTCATCTAATCCCTCTAACCACCTCCGTTTGCATCCATGGCGGCGCTCTCCTCCGCCTCCCCACCTTACTGACTAGAGGTATCGTCAAGGCTTGTGCCTCCAAAACCTCCCTTTTGAGTGCCATCCACCCCTCCTCAACTCGCTTGCCTTCCCGTAACCTGTCCCAGGAGACTCTCCCCAGCCTGGCCTTCAGTTGGCCAAAGTTGGCCCTCTTGAAGTCCCAGCTTCTAGTGCTGCTGCAAGTCCCCAGTCCCCTGATCTCAAAGCAAAGGATGGAGTGATCACTCGCATCCAGAGCTCCCCTAATCTGTACGTCATCTATCAGCTCCTCCCTGTTGGTCGGTGTAAGGATGCCAACCCCCCTCGTCGCCTCTCGGACCCTCTGTGAAAAACCCTTCCTTTTTAGCTTCTAGGAAGCGACGTGACCTGGCTGTCACTGCCGAGTGAGTCTCCCAACTGATATCCGGGAGAGTGAAATCTCGCGTAAGATACTAGGGAGGTATTGGGCAGGAGCACCATAACGGGGACTGCGCATGGAGGGAACAGCAGAGAAAGGGAGCCGACGCCAGCGGCAACTCACGCGACCGCACGCACCGATGATCATGTTGGCGATGGACGCTGTCAGGCTGAACTGCTGCTCCAGGAACTTGGCCAGGAAGGTGGCGATGCCGGCAACCATGCTGGAGAGGTTGATCAGCGCCAGGACGACCATGATGAAGATGGGGTTCCTGATGTTCCTCAGCAAGGCCGCGGGGAACACTGCAACGGACCAGCCACGGGCACGGGCGTCACGCGCTGTGCTCACAGCAAGGCCGGCCGCCCGCCGTAGCTGAGGTCTCTCGAGGGGGCGCCGCGGCATTCGCATGGATGTGGCACGTGTGGCACATACGGGGTTTCCTAACTAAGCTCGCTTTGCCCCTTCCCCTCGGCTCACCTGGGGGCAGCGTCTTCCCCAGTTCTCCTGAGACCAGTGTTCGGGGCGCCTCGGGCCTCTTCCTAAGAGAGGTCTGCCGTGGGATCTGCGCAGAAGGGTGTGGGGGGCAGGGAATGACCCTGTTTAACCGCAGGCATTTCCGAGACGGTCGCTGACATGCGGCAGCCCCTTTTCCAGACGGCGCAGGTGCCCAGAGGTATTCAGTGCCGGGTTTTCCAAGAGCAGGGCTGCCACGGGCACAGCCCCTCCTGCAACGCTGCCCTCCTTGCCACTGGCCTTCCTGCCCCTTGGTGCCCACTTCTATCCATTTATGCATTACAGGACCCTCACATCCCGTCCGCCCGCAGAAAAGCTCTCTGGGGTTTGCTGCCAGCACCTCCGGCCCTGCTGCTAAGCTCCCTGCCCGCCCCGTTTTCAGTCATGCCCCCCTCCGGGCAGGACGGAGCACCGCGTGCAGCCCCTCTCCTGGCCCTTCACCCGCACGGCAATTCTGGGGCAGCCGGGCCAGCACAGCCACTGCCCAAGGTGGCCCAGGCGCTTCACGGGGGCCGGGGGGGGGGGCGGACTCGGCTCTTCCCGATCCGAGCCTGACACACAAACCACCACATCACACCACGCTCCGCAGATTCGGCACAAGCGAGCAACAGATCAAAGAGGCACAGATTGACTTTGTCACTGAAGGAGAAAGAAGATACTGACTTCTATCAAACCTGCGACTCTTTTTATTATTGGCTAGAGAAACGGGGCTTCGCATAGATTCAAATACGTTTTTAAGTTATCATAAACAGAAAAAATGTGGGGGGCTGACCCAGCAGGTCCGATGTTTCTGATGATTGGTGTTGCTTTTAGTTTTTCTTTGTATTAGGGTTATTTTGAATAAAACTTATTATAAAAAAAAAAACAAATCAAAGTGGCCAGGCAAAGCTGAGGAGAGGTGAACATTTCACTTTCAGCTGGACCCATTTTCACAACCATGTCATTTAAGGTCATTCTTTTTAGACTTCTTTTCTGCCCAAGCCAAAGCTCTTTTGGCAGTTTACAAGGACTTATAAACTTATGAACACTGTATTCTACATAGTGAAAACTGTATACAAACATAAACAGCCAACAGATACAGAAGCACACATGTACCTCAACAAATTTAACAGCAATATGACCATACGTCCAGTCCATTTCTTCTTCCGTGTGCAAATCTGGCCCACAAAAGACCACAGATTTCTAAAAGGTGTTTTGCTACATATTCCCCCCAAATTTGCCTCTTTGTGACCTTACCCCAGGTGCATGGCCCTTTTTGCAAGTGGTTTCTGTTCCTAATTGAATGGACTTTGGAAAAGGCCGATTTTACCATGCAGGTGAGTTTTGGGTCCCATGGGGGTTCAGGAAGCATACATTCTGCAAGTCTCTACACAGATTTGGAGTGAACCAATTTCCCATCCAGAGGAGAGGAGAGGAGAGGAGAGGAGAGGGCACGGTCAGAGCGTTGGAGCTAAAATAACTCCCTTCCTTCCACACAAGACATTCCCGTGTCCAGCGCTAACCTTGAAGTTTCACTGTGTCCATGAAAAGGCAGGTGGTAAAGAGCATGATTCAGGCAGTGTTCGGGGCATCGATGATCGCCCATTCTGGGGAATCCAGACAAAAGGCCGTGAAGGTGGCAGAGGCTAACGGTTCTAGGTTACCTGATCCGGCGGTCGGGAGCGTGTGGCACAGCAAGGACTGCCTGTTTGAAAATTCCATTTGTGACCATCCTTGGCCATTGCAACTTCAGGGCTTATGGTGGTGTGCACTGACCTGCTAACCACAAAATGGTACCGCTGGACGTTTTGGTGGTATGACCAGAAATGCTGGACAAAGAAATGCCCCTCTGTCTGGAAGGCAAGAGGGACATGCAGCTGAGGGGGCTGTCTAGAAAAATCAGAGTTTGGAATGCCGTTCTTTTCACAGTGGCGAAACCGGAAGAGCTCTCCTGAAGAGGCACGAGGAGCGCTCGGCTGACACTCAGCACAAGCAATTACTGGTGCCAACGGCGGCCTCTTCCTATGGGGCAGAAACTTGCCGGCAGAACCGCTGTAGGGACATTCTGCGCGAGGAATGGAACGGCGCTTCTGGAGGAGGAAGATTAAGGCAGCAGTGTTGATCGATCGGGTGGAAACCTGGATCGATGCGAAGGATGAGAGGAAGCAAGCCAGGAATATATTTGTGCAGCTTGGCTGGCCGCAAAGGGGGCTGCTTGGTGGGCATCTCCGTTCCCCCGCTGGGGTCGGGCCCGCTCCTGTCCCGATCCAGCAAACTCTAACTTGTGGCTGAGCTCTAACCGGTTTACGGTTTTAAATTGAAACGTTCATGCAGCGGCTGTGCTGCCGTTGACCATTTGCTCCGGTTCTGGAGAGCTGTGCCTGCGCATAACATCTGTCCCTCCGAATGAATGCGAGAAGCACTCTGGTCCATTCATCTCCAGCCGCTGTTTCCTGCCCCATTCTTCAGCCGCCCCCTAAAAAGAGGAAACTACTTCTCCCTCCCCTTGCCTCACTAGTCTTGTTTCCCACCACTGCTGGGATGCACAGTGTAAGTTCCTCGGGGCAGAGACCTTTGTTTTCCCAGTAATGGTCTCCTAAGTGTCATGTATACCTCTAGGCTTCGCCAGGGCACGTTCAATAAACAACTTCTCCATCCTTAACCATCCTAAGAAAAGAGGAAAATACCACCCTGTTTAGCCACCTGGCCTCCACAGGAAAAGGAGGCGAGTGTGCGAAGGACAAGCTACCACAACGACATAAGCGCGACACAAAAGCACAAGTGCTCTGTGACTGGAGCACTTTGCACCAGCTTCATCTGGTTCTGCAATGGGTCTGCTTTTCTGGACTATGTGAAACTGGCTTCAGTTATCCATGCACTAGCGACATAAAGATGAGATTACTGCAATATGCTCTACGCAGGGCATAGGAAAGGCAAACGCATCGCACGGTATTAAAACAACTATGTTGGCTCCCTGCCTGCTTCTGGGCCCAGTTCAAAGAGCTGGTTCTATCCACAACCACCACCGTCAAGATATCCTTCAAACTTAGTGCACAGGCGACCCTCTTCGGTCAAAAGGCACCAGGCACTGTGCTTCTCTAACGCATATCAAAATTCACGCTGGGCCTGAATTGACAACCCTCACGTTCACTTTTATGGCGATTCTCCACCCACTCTCTTCTGGGTAAAACTCACTGTATCTCCTGAAATACGAAAGGCAGAAAATGAGCTGATGTCTCAGAGCAGAATGTACTGAAAGTGCTGGGTTCATCCAAAACACTCGGGATCCAAGGAACATTCGAGGTGTAAATAAGGAAGAAACATGGAAGGGTTTCTTGGAATAAGCTGAAGCAGCCTTCCCAACATGGCACCTCGCAGATGTGTTCGACTGCAACTCCCATCGTTCCACTGTCTATTCTTTTCCTTTCATCTCTCTTTTAAAGTCTGCCTTTTCCCAACTTTATTCTCACTATTCTTTTCTTGGAAAGCGGTTCCCCAGTTTTGGAATGGCCCTCCCCAGAAAAGCCTGGCTGGGGGCTGCTTCGTTCTATTTTCCGCAGCTGCCAAACGCCTTATTTTCACCAGCTTTTAAGTTCTCCGCACATTTTGTTGCTATGCTGTGCTTTTCGGTAGTTTTGAACCTCCAGTGTTGTTGATGCCTGTGACATTTTAATCACTGTTGGCTGAAATTATGCAGTTGTACTGCTTTCTGTTTTGACGCCTGCATATTTGGGGATTGTGTTTTGCCGTAGGCAACACGGCCTTTTAGAAACAAGCATAAGGAGAACAATGGTCATGCTGCCAGAAGTGCAACCTGCCCATCACAGGGGTCCCGTGGCACCAGGCTGACACACCTGAGCTGGATGTGGGCCCTGCACCCTGCCCCAAAGACCCCCTGCCGCGCACACAGGCCCCACGGTGGACACCTGGCCCCGCTCAACAGTCCAGCTGGCACGGGCGGAGCCTCTGAACATAGCCCCAATTGCCATTATAAGTACGGGGCGTTTGTGCCCCCCCTTCCCCCTCCGCCAGGGGCCCCGGGGGGCTTGCATAGCTCCGTTTCGGCCTCACAACATTAAGCTTGGACGCCGCCGAGCCCTGCCACGGCTCAGCACGCTTTGCGTGGCGGCACAACTGATGTCCCCTGCCGGAACTGACCAGCCTGCCTGCCTCCGTGGCCTTCGAGGACGGGGGTGGCAGACACGTGGCCGCTGGAGGGAAATAAACCTGCTGCGCTCAAGGAAGAGCACGGCATTTTGCTTGATCCGGGGACGGGGGGCGGGGCTGTTTTACTGGACAAAGCAGCGGATGGCCTGCATGACAGGGGGTCCCTAAAGCAAAGGTCCGTATACGTCAGAATCCCAACAGAGCTCTAACGCGGCCGTTTCGCAGCACACTTGGCGTTTCCCTGCAGTCGGGGGAGGAGGCTAGAGGCTCTCCGCTGGCCCTTCATCGCCCCCAGTAGCCATTCCGCCTTAATCGCTGCCCGGTGAGCAGGGCTTGTGGACGGGCCACATTCGCAACTTACTTTTGATGAACTGCATCAGAGTAAAGTTCTCCAGATCCTTGGGTTTCGTTCTGAGCTCCTCCATTAAATCTCTCTTGTGAATTTCCGCGAAGCTCATATCTGCACTTTCCTCCTAGGAATGGCAAGACGTAACACAGAATTAATTATTCCTGGGATCTCTTGGGTTCACTCTTCCGAGGAGGAGGAGGAACCCTGCAAGGGTTGCCCTCACTCCCGGGAGCCGCTTCTTCGGTCTCACCCCCAGACTCAGCCCAGCTCGTTCACGCAGAAGTGCGGCCCGCGACCTCTCTGCTTTTGTCCACCGGCTCTGCTGTGCAGCCCGCCCCGTGCAGTGACACAGCCCTTGCTTTTGAGAGCTTTCCTTACTAAGCTGATTCAAACCATTTTCTGTTGGACGGATCCTCCCCGCTTTTTGCTTAAAGCGGAACCAAACCAGCTCACAGATGCGCTGAGGCACTTTCAGTGGGGCCAAAAAGGCTTCCCTCCCCGGAGGGCCTTGTTCTGGTTTTTCGCCATGCCCGTACAAGCGGCCCCTCGTTCAGGATGCTCCCTCCCTTGCTTGCCCTTGGGGCATCGGCACCACACTCAGCGGCCCGAGCGTTTTATGGTTTCATGTCACTGGCTCGTGTTTCTGACTGGTGGAGCCACACATGGCTGAAGCAGAAAGCCGAAACACATGGACAGGGATTCATCCGGCTGCCCTGCCGTGCCTCCTGAGTGAAGCCACGGGTGGCGAGGCGATGCCAGGTCAGCATCCCAGGGTTGCCTGCCAAGGACGCCGCAGCAGCTCCTGCTCATTTCCCACGCCTCCCCCTCCTCGCACCCATGCACAAAGGGCCTCTCCTTCGGGAATTCTTTGTGAGGAGCTGCCATAACAGTCACAGAATGCCATGGTGTGATAGCAGTTCCACGCCAGTTTTATTGCCATGGTTTTGCCAAAAGGACCTTGGAATTAGAAACATAGAAACACAGAAACAGAGTGAGTCAGAAGGGGTCTCCTGGGCCATCTAGTCTGACCTCCGGCACCAGCCAGTTCTGCGCATGACATGCCCACCATGTGCATGTCCAGCCTATCTTTGAACACCCGCACCGATGGGGCCTCAACGACCTCTCATGGAAGCCCATTCCACACCCTTGGGGTCCTAACCATCAGGAAGTGCTTCCTGGCATCCAAACTGAACCTTGGTTCCCTGAGCTTTGTTCCGCTGGAGCATGTCCTGCCTTCCTCTGCAGGGGAGAACAGGTCTCTACCCACCTCAGTGAGGCCACCCCTTCATGTACCTGCATGTCGCCAACAGATCCCCTCTGAGTCTCCTCTTCTCCAGGCTGAAGAGACCCAGTTCCCTCAGTCTCGCCTCATACCCCATCCCCTGCAAACCGGCCACCAGCCTTGTGGCCCTTCGCTGCACTGACTCCAACCTGGCTATATCCCTTCTGTAACGAGGGACCCAAAACTGAGCACAATACTCCAGTTGCGGGCGCACCTTAGTTGTGTAGAGTGGTAGTAATACCTCTCTCGATCTAGAAGCCACACTTCTGGCTATGCAACCAAGGGTGGCGTTCGCCCTCTTGGCCACTGCATCACACGGCTGGCTCATGTTCAGCCTGCAGTCGCCCAGCACCCCGAGGTCCCTTTCACAAGTGCTGCTCTCCAGCCACTTGTCACCTAACCTGTATTTATGACAGCTATTCCTATGCCCCAAGTGCAATTCATTGCCTGGTGCTGCGAATTACTTGTTTCAGACCCCTAGAGCCCTCACCAAATTTCGGTTGCCAGAGAACTTGCCATTAAACCTATTTAATCCTCAGGGGCAGATGCTTCCACAGATCCTTAAGAAGGACCACTTTGCACCGAGGCAGGAGGTGGCTGGAGGCGAATTCCCTTCCCTACTGCAAGGCTAGAAACCCAGAATGTCTGAAAGCATCATTGGCATGTTTAGCATGCCCCTTTTTTCCACTGGGAATGAGGATTTCCGGGCAATCCCTGTGCCCTTCAACAAGGGGAGTGGATCTTGTTCAGGAAGAACAGTGGCAGAAAGGGATGCCAAAAGAATCTGGCCAAAATTCCAGGCAAATGCAGTCGTTCAGAGAAGGAGTTGGGAGCTAATTGCACATGTCTGGGGACCAACGGCATATATTTGTCTTTGAAAGCAAGGCAAAGAAAAATCGAGACTTCTTAGAAACACCCAAGCCCTCAGGAAGGGCAGGTTTCATCTGCAAAGCTGCAGCCACGTGGCTGTTACAGGGAGGGAGAGTGGACAGGCGCTCCCAGGGGATATGCTGGGAGGGCTGGGTGAGGGGAGGGGGCTGTTGTTTCTTTACGTCTTGTTTTGTTCAGTTTTTGCTGCCGCCACGGTTAGCAAAGACTCCATCCCGGGTGGAGAGAAGCAGATCAGGCCTACGGATGTCATGAGCTGGTCCCCTCCCTCCTTCTTTCCAGTGATCAAACTCAAGGCCATCCTTAAAGGGCAGTTCCTTCACTGAAAGCCAACAGATGCCAGAAGAGTGTCAACTCCAGACAGGTGCCTACCAAGGCTGGAGAAGCATCCGCCTGCGCGAAGAGCTGGGTCCCAACCGGGAGCGCCCCCTCCCTCCATCCCTCCCTTTCAGCGAATCCGCTAGCCCCACGCACAGGGCGGCTGCCGCTGCTGAGGGCAAGTCGGCAGGAGCAGCAGAGACCCTCTCACGGAGCAGCGAATTTCTCCCCTTGCATCCTCACTGGGCCCAGGACTGGGCCTCGCATCGGCTCCCCCCACCCAGAAAACCCTTCCAAAGCGGGCTGGGCCTCACACTCGGCCTGAGAGACTTCACCGGGTAACCGTGACACGCCAAAGCCCCCTCCCATCTGAGTCAGACGAGCCACTCCGAAACCCACGCACAACCCCAGCCTCCCCCCTGCCCGCCAACACCCAGCAAGGGTCATTATGCTCGTCAGGCGACAACCAGTCCATGGGGGGGGGGGGGATAAGCCGCCAGGGCCTCTCCCGCCACCCCATGATGGCGTGAGCCCGCTGCATGGTCAGAGAGCTGCAGTCTGCCCTCTTAGACCTCTGGCCACGAGGCGGCCGGGAGCAGCTGCAACTCAGGGAAGCGAGGGTCTCGGGTTCTGCAGCAACGATGGGCAACGCTCTCGCTCTCACGGCCCCAGGCCCCTTCGAGGGGGATGTTCACTCAGCTGTGCTCACTCGCGTTTCACGGGGTGCGCAGGCTGGAGGGCTGCTTCCACCGCTTCTGCAGGCAGCGGTGCAGGGAAAATGTGACAGGCAGGTCTCTCACAGACGCCTTCTGCATGTCTAGTGCAGACGCTGCACGTTCATAAAAGGTCTTCTGGCTGGTTCCCGGGGGCAACATCACCTCATCAATTGTCCCCTTCATTCCCCGCTTGCCTCCCTTTTGTGGGGATGAACAGAGCACGCCCGGCTCCTGGAACATCTTTGCAGGTTTCGTGACAACCATCAGTTTTCCCCTAGACGCCTTGAGGGCAAATCAATATGATCCTATGCAAAGAATTTGACCTAAAGTCAAGCAGATGCAGCAAAGCCAACTCTCAGCCTGCAGGAGGGGAAGAAAGCTCCATTTCCTGACATATGAAACGTTTTTCCCTGGAAGGGAGGTTAACAGCTCCTTTGCCTTTCTGCTGGCATTCGACTAGGAGGGCTCTCGGCTGCATCGCTTGCTAGGTCGGCCTCGGACTTAGTCACGGCAAGTGCCTTTTGCTTGCTACAAGGGACAGCACGTGTGCGCAGCTGCCGCCTGCAGGTGCTTGAAATGCAGACGGCAGCACTGTCCAGGACAGCCACCCCCCACCTGAGCCTCCCAAAAGGTTCTAGGAAGGGGCTGCGGTCCAGAGCCGCTCGGGACCCAGGCGAGCGGCGGCTGCCTCGGGAAGCGACGTCAGCAGGTGGAGACCTGAGGGTGACCCTTCCCACACCCACCGTGTTGCTGCAGCACCCTGCATCCCAACCCTGTGCTTGCATGGGTACAGATGCCTGCAGTCCTGCGGGGCAAAGCAGTTCCAGCACAAAGCTATGGACAGGGAAACGAGTAAACAGTTCTCCCTCGCGCCAGCCTCTCAGCTCAAAATTACTCCTTCCTAAAGCAGCTTTTCCTAAGAAAAAGATGATGCATGTGATCCCGGGTGAAGTGGTCCCAAGATCATCTCTGGGCCTTTCACACTGTGCCAAAACTTTGCTGGTTGTGAAATCCCTTCGGCCAGAGCTTCCCCTGGAAATGCAGGCAGAGGAAAAAGCAATTGCTGGGAAAGAAGGGCCGCTGCTGCTGCGCCGGAGGATCGCCAGCCGTCGGATGCGACCAGCCTCGGCTTTCTGTCTCACCGGAAGAGAGAGGCTCATTTCAAATGTTGCGGCGCCGTGCTTTACGCAGCCAATCGCTCGCCAACGCCCGGCAGAACTCCCAAGGCAAGCGCCCAGGAGACGCAGGCGCTCGCTTGCCCAGCGGGATCTTTCTGGAGAACCGCCTGCAAATAAGTGGGGTAGCGTTTGGGGAAGCCACAACTTCTTTCCTGCCCAGGCAGCTTTACCTGCTCGAGGCAAATATCCAGACGGGAACCACAGCTTCCTTGGCTCTCCGAAACACGGGCCTTTCCTCTGCTGCAGAGATGAGCCTTCCCCTGCTGACGCCACACGGAAAGCCCTCCTGGCACCCGGCCCGGGCAACGGTGGTGCCGCAGGACTCGCCTAGCGTCCCGTCCGCCTCTGGGGCCCGGGGCGTGTGCAGGGGGCCTGGAGCGGCACCACTGAGGCGACACGGCATGCGGGCCTGCACAGCAAGAGCCTTGTCCGGAAGCAGCCTCTCTCGCAGGGGCATTGGCCCTTTCTCTCAGGCACCCCTTCCGTGCAGATAGCCTCCCCATCCCCTCTTCATCTCCACAACAGCTCTGTGAGGTAGGCCAGGCTGAAAGAGGGAGCGTAGGCTCCTCTCTCTCTCTCTCTCTCTCTCTCTCTCTCTCTCTCTCTCTCTCTCTCTCTCTCTCTCCCTCTCTCTCAGGGGCAGATGTGGACTGAGCAAACGGAAGCAGGGCAGGTGCGTGGGGCCCATCTCGTCAGCCGTTCCCATGCAGGTGCTTACCTCTCTAGGCATTTCTTCCGGGAAGAAGAAATACGGTATTGCGGCAATGGCCACCACGCCGGCCGCAATGATGAAGCCGAGCCACCACGCTCCGACCCACCGTGGATCGCTGCTGTTAATGTGCATTTCCGCTGAAAGCCAAGCAGAAGGAGAGCGGGAAGATGCCCTGGGGCTCTGGACAAGAGCGGAGGGCCACCGGCTCAGCCCCTGCAGGTTCGGCGGCCGCTGCGGAGCTATCATCTCTGCTTTCGCTCCGGGCCGGGCCACTGCTCCGCCACCTGCCTCGGCCGTGTTTCCATGGACCGGCAGAGCCGCTCCGAGGGCTCACTGGGAGCCCTTCCCAGCCCAACTGCATGCAAAGCGTGCGCTTCAGCTCCTTCCCAGCTCCGAGAGCAGCGGCCCCGGAGCGCCCCGTGGGCAGTGGCTGGGGGCTGGTTCGGGAAAGGGCTCGGGACTGGGGGAGCTGCGCTTCCGGAGCCGGATGACCGAGGCCCTTGCCTTGGAGCCCACCGCGGGAGTGCGTCCTTCCTGCTGGCCAGGCCTGCTTTCTGTAAGCACGGCTGGCCCGAATTGCCATCCATTTGCAGGCTTTCGCATGCACTGGTGATACCGCAGCTGCCTTCCTGCTTTGTCCGCATTGAGTAAATAGGCAGGGGAGTGACAGCGCAGTGGTGACACTGCATGTTCCCAACCAGCAGGGCCCCGCTGGGCTCCTGATGCCCCCAGTGAAAGGGCGCCGGAGGGCAGGATCCTTCCGTCTTGGAGCGCCAGGGCCAGCCGGGCTGGGTAATACGCTGCACTCTGCTTATGCACAGGACATACATACTTGCCCACGTGATGCTACGACAGATGGACCTGTGATTTACCCGTAAAAGAGGGTGCCTGCCAGTGCTGACACTGGCACCCTGCGCCCAGCCCCATGAATCCCGGGTCCCTGGAAGCCGGCAAGCACACTGAAGCACACGTGCCCCGGGGCTGCTGACGTGCGCTTTCCTTGGCTCGAATGTGCCGGTGCGTCGGAAGCACGTGGCACTGCCTTCGCGCAGCAGAGGCCTGGCAGAACCTGGACGCAGGCGGCAGGCAGGTCCCCTCGCCGGGGGCGCCAGCCGCCCTTCCATGGGAAAAACCCGCTGGTCATGGCCTGGTCACAGTTCATGCACCCAAAGAACCGGAACCACTGGGCTCGGAGAAAGGCAGGGGTACATTTCAGGAGAGGGCAGTGGGATTATCGCACGGAGGGCCTGCAGGGACTGGGACTGGGACTGGAAGCACCCGGGACATGAGATCGGGGTTTTCAAAGCTTTCTGCAGGACGAGCCGGGGAAGAGGTCAATGCTCTTTTCCAACATGCTGGAGCCGCACTAAGGGGGTTTCCCCACCACTTGTCGTGCCGCGAACTGGATGCCCCCGGGGGAGAACTGCTACGCATCAGGCAATGGGCGGGGCACTCCCAAAATCCTTGACCTTGGTCTGGGGAGGCAGGAGCACCTGTGCGAGCTGCAGACAAGTGACCAAGGTTAATTCCCTGGAAACATCAAAACAAGCGGACAGACTGGTTCGTGAGGCAATGGGACACAGAGAAGACGCGGCGGTGGCAAGAAGCAGACCCCGTTGGTCTCTTTGGCCAGGAGTGGGGAGCGGGCAGCCCGCCCGCCGGGTGTGGGCCACAGATCCTCAGGCTCTGGCTGGGTGTCTGCTGCACAAAAGGGAGAGAGCACTGCCCTCCCCTCTGCACAGGGGCCTGGAGCACGAGGAACGAGCTGCAGCCCCGACGTGCAAGCTGGGCAAACTCCTCCAGAAGCCCCAGCAGGCCCCTCTCAGACTGCCTTCGAGCGCCGCCCACTTTGCCAAGCATTCACTGGGTTCAGAAGGGAGCGCCGTGCAAATGAGCATCGGGCACCTCAGGTCGGGCTGGCAGTGCCGCCAGCTGGAGTCCATGCCTGGAAACAAGCGCCTTGGCTTTCAACCTGTGCTCAAAGGCAGCACCCCCCTCCGCCAAGGATGCCTGCCCCCCTCGCATCCTGCTCTTGCGCTTCCAGGAACGTCCTCCATCTGCTTGCCGGCCTCTTTCTCTGCATTTGTTCCTGCAAGGCTTCGGTCCTGGATTTGTGAGTCACTCTAGGCAGAGGAGAGCCAGCGATGCTGAGAGGTGCTGAGCAAACGTTTACCAGGCACACAGGCAGTGCTGGAGGAGAGGCAGCCGTTCTAGCCCAAACTCCCCTCAGTGCCGCTGGGATTTATCCTTGCGCAAATTCGTTCACGCACAGGCTTTGGTAACTCACATGCGGAAACCTTGTCGATGTCGACATAAAGGCGCAGCATGACTGACCCCAGTATGAATGCGAGACCAGGCCCAATGGCAGTTGTAGCAAAAAGGATCCCTGGAAAAAAAAGGCATGATTTTTGCTCTAAGCAGAGAAGTCTGGGTAGAACAATTTAAGATTTATTCCCGAGAGCTGGCACAAGGCTGTGGATACACACAGCACACCCCGCCCAAATTTCGGGGGGTTTCCAACCCAGACTGATATTTTTTGGTGCTGTAGATGGTTATGTATAATCCTGTTACTGTGAAAGGGTCGATGCAGATGCAGAGCGCTGGCCATGCGGAAACTGTATTTTTTAAAAAATCTTTTGTTAACTGCCCAGAGAGCCTCGGCCACTGGGCTGCATAGAAATGAATGAATGCCATGTTTCGAAGTTTAAAATTTGGACTTTCCAAGCAGAGACCCCATCTCCCCACTCATCCAGCTGCCTGGTCACTTATGTGCCAAAACATTCACAGTGACATTGGCAAATCCTAGGCTAAAAATGGCAGCTTAGATGGGGGAGCAGTTTGAATCCGCCCTTGTGGCCAGCATTTCTCATCATTAAGTAACACATAGAAGCAGAGAAGCAGAGCGAGGCGGAAGGGGCCTCCCGGGCCATCTAGTCTGACCCCCGGCTCCAGCCAGCTCTGCTCACGACATGCCCGCCACGTGCGCGTCCAGCCTGTCTGAACACCCGCACCGAGGGGGCCTCTACAATGAGTGCGCTGGTAAAGCAGTACAAATGCCAAACTAGTCAGGAAACTAAGCCAGCTGGAAGAGCAGTGCTAGTTTTAAAAATGTTAATTGTTGATCTGCGTGTGTGTCTGTGTGTATGAGAGGTAAATATTGTTGGGACCTGAGGCTTGTGTGTGTGTTTTAACCCTTTTCTCCCCCACCACACTCACAGCAAAATTGGAACTGCTCCTAGGAATGCCTTCAGGACTCGGGATCAAAACTCCTTTCAATTTTTGCTTCTCTCGATTTCTTATTTTTTCCAAACTTACATTTAATTTGCCCAGAACTTTGGGAATTTTTCCAGTCTTCAGTTCAGTTCACATGAAAGCTCATATGCCCTCTTTTTGAACAGTCCGATAATACTTCTTTGTTATGCCATTCTGGCTACTATACAAAATATTGTGCAAATCTATATATAAAAGAGTAAACAATTTTGACTGATTTCTTTAGTAAATAGTTTTCTTGTGAATGTTATTCACAGTTGTTGCATTTCTGCCTACCCTTTCCCCTGTTGTATGTAGTTTCGTATTTGAGAATTTCCTGGCAAAATATGAAGAAGTGCAAATTTCAGAGAATAAGTGAGTTTCAGATTGTGCACTGGTTTGAAAGTGCGAAATTAGGTAACTTCCTATGAAGATGCAAAGCATGCCAGTTTCTCCTTCATCCTAGTCAGCAAGGACTGCAGGAAATCGTTTTCCACTTCTGTTTATTCACAGATATAGGCGTTAAAAGGCGAACCCAGAGCAGCGCTCCTCTTTGGAGGCTCCCTTGCCAAAAGGGGCGGCAGCAGGAGCATGGAACTCCTGGGCGCGACTCGCTCCTTCCAGGCACTGCTGCACCTGCCATTCCTCTGCTCCTGGCCACCCGAACCCCCTGGACCGTTTCTCTCCATCTCTTCGCTGGACTGTGTTGAACTGTGTCAGCCTGGCAGCCGGAACCTGCCCTCCCGGCCGAACTCGCGTCTCCGAGCAGCGGGAGGTCAATGGTCAAGCACCTTCCGCTAGCGCTGCTGATCGCTGGTCCACCCCAGTGCGGCACGACCCTACTGAGTGTGCCCTTGACACAATCTGTGCCTCGGAGCTCGGTGGCCTGTGAGCATCCGGGTCGGGGGCATGGGGGAAGCCACCTCCTCACACCTCCTGCTCCACGCCCACCCGCTCAGAGGATGCGGCCGTCTGGCTCAGGGGCCGCGGAGGGCGAGCAGAAGTGGCTACAGTGTGGTCAGGGCACCCTGCTATCCTGCATCCCCAGTTCCAAGGCCAGAATTCTGCTTCCAGCCTCAGATCTGGGGACCCAAAGTGTCCTGTGGCCACCCAGGTGCTACCTGGGGGGCCGTACGATCGCTAAGTGGCCAACATATTTAAGGCAAGTGGCCACACCTGACCGTGACACCATACGGCGGCGGACTATCACTCCACCTGGCCCAGTGCTCCTCCCGTTTCCTGGCCAGGGCTCACCAGGCCCCAGGAAGAGGCGCCTGGGACCCTTTGCGTGCAGAGGGACGCAGGCGCTGGCCTTGCTCGCCCGGCCCACTATTGCCTGCACGGACCGGCAGTGGCCCCCAGCCTCCCGGCAGAGCAGGCCATCCCAGCCCTGGCCCCCCGGCAGAGGCGTCTCTGCCTCCGCCTCCGCCAGCTGTCTAGTCACATTGCCAAAGCTCCCGCCACCCAGCGACTGTCCGAGCAAGGCACAACGGACGGCAACGTCACTCGGACAAAATGCAAGGGCACCGGGACAGCATTCCTGATCACACTCCACACCCAAAGGCGGCAAGCAGTGAGTGGCCCCCGTGACGTCTCTGGCCCGGCCCGGCCCGGCCCCGGAGGGCCCCCTCCCCGTCTCTGGGCCTCACGGGCCATGGCTCCCGACCCCGTGGCCACGCGGCGCAGCGCGCTGGCCGGGCTAACCTTGGCCCCGGCCTCTTACCTACGTAGAGAGGGGAGTTGCTCTTGCTGGCATAATCGTCGATGTACGAGATCCCGAAGGGCTGGATGGGGACCCCCCCGAGCCCCAGCAGCGTCTGCCCGAACAGCAGCACCCCCAGCACCATCTGGTCCTCTCTCCGGCTTTCTGCGCATTCGCCGAATGAGGAGGAGGCAGCGGCGTCCCCCTGCTTCGCGGGGCACATGTCTGTGGCGTTGCTGGACAGGCCTGCGGAGGCGAGGGGAGATGCTGTGAGGCTCCTGGGCTTTCTTGCCGCACGGCGCAGGTGCGTGTCCTCGGCTCAGGCGGGAGGCGGGAGCAGGCAGCTGAGGGAGCTGCGGCTGGAAAAGCAGGACGGGGGCCTTTGGGGGGCTGAGCAAGCATCGCCCTCCAGTGTCGCCTTTCGTCACGAAATCTGGGGAAGGGGCCAGGTCTGGCGACTCCCACCCTGTGGCTCCTCTCGGAGGAACATGTCCTCAGCACGTCGCATCGTCTCAAAGGGAAACGCGTGTCTGCGTGAGGGGGGCGGGAGGAGGGGACCCCGGTTGCTGAGGGGCGTGCAGGAAGGGTATGGGCCGTTTTGCCCCCTCCCTTTCCTAACTTTAATGAAGCCTTGTCCAGGGGCAACTACTGGTGCATTCTCAGTTCTTCCTTTTTGAAAATATTCCTGTAATTAATCATGTTTGTGAAGTGCACCTGTCTGGTTTACAAACACCGTCATAACAATTCCTGATTATTTACATTGTCTTAATGGAGATGTAAATTAATATTAATATCTTAATCAGGTTATACAGCTCATAAAACATATTATTTCATGTCAGGCTGGCAGTTGGTGTCTCCTGTAGTCCAAGCAATACTAATTTAATCAGTTCGTTCTGAAAAATTAGAAATCATCCTGTGTCAGTCATAGTTGTAGAACTGGAAGATGCCTCGGAAACCACTGGGTCTAACCCCTCCTCAGCGCACGCTCTGCGGTACGGGGCGGGGGGGGCTTCAGCACCCCTGACGGACGGCCGGCCAGCAGCCTCTGCCGAAACGCACCCAGCAGAGGAGAAGCCATCGCTCCCCACGGCCGCCCTTCTGCGCGGAAGCTGCTCCTAACACGGTGCCAAACACTGCGTCCCCACAGCTCCCGGCCACCCGCTCTGGGCCTGCCCCGCGGAGTAAGCAAGCGCTGCGCGGCTCCACCTCTGCGTCGGGGCCTCTCCGACTGGCAAGAGCGCTGGACGGCTCCCCTCCGTCTTCGCTTCTCCCGACACAGGCGCTTAACACCCGGTGCTTAATTTCCCACTAGCACTTCTGGGTCTCTCCTATTTCCTCCCAGTCTAGCAGGACGCTCCCATGAGATTTTGGCTCGGTTCTAGTGGTTTTTTCTAAGCCGCGCATCCACTGAGCCAAACGGCTTCTCCCTGCACGCTCACCTGCACGAAGCCCACCCTTCCCACTCGCCCCGGGAGATCTGCACGCGGCCCGTTCCCTGCTTGTTGGGAGGCACAGTCTTGGCATTTATGTAGAACACAAGCGTCGCTTTGGAGGTGCCTGCTCACGAGTACATTGTAGCTGACAGCCTGAGCTCGTGCCACATGCAAAGGGAGGGTGTGCAGGGGCGCGCGGACACACACACACACACACACTCCATTAGCAAGGCGCCAGTGAGAATGAGTGAGAGAGTAGAGACTGTTTTGTAAAAGGAAAAATTCCGTTTCTTCTTCCTCCGCACAACAAATCAAGGGGAAGGGGAAGGGGAAGGGAGGTTGAGGTGCTGCTTCCAGCGGGAGCAGCAGCCCCAGCCCTCTCCACCGAGAAGCCTTCTTCAGATACGTGCATAGTAAAAGACGGCAAAGAGATGCTGCTTCACGTCCTCAATGAGGATGGCAAAACGATGGCCCCAGCATCTATCGTGCTGCATGCTGCCCAGTAACAGGGGTCCTCCAAGCAGTTCACGGACGCCACGGGCAGGGCAGAAGGCACGATTTCGCTCTGGCCCAGTCTCCGCCCGAAGGAGGGTCCATGCCCTCCCTGGCACAGGGGGAGCACAAGCGCAAGAGGCAGGATTGTGGCTTGAGAGTGAGAGGCGCCCGGCCGTTGCCTGGAGTGCGTTCCAATCTCCAGTGCTCAGTGGAACGTCGCCCCGGAGTCCCAAAGGCCCTGGGCCAGTCTGTTTTCTTTGAAAAAACATGGAGGACGGGTGCAGCACCAGCCGACTGGAAGGGGACTCGTGCTGCCCTGCCCTCGACGAGGGTAAAAGGAGAAGCCCGCAACTACAGAGCAGCTACTCCAATATCAGTCCCTGGGAAAACCTCGAGCAGGTTAGAAAGCAGTCAGATTACGGAAAGTTGGAAAATAATGCACCGACTATTAAAAGCCAGCGTGGATTTGTCAAGAATGTGTCCCAGCAGACTAATTTAGTCTCACTTTTTGATCTGGGGATCTCCCGGTTGCCCCTCTCGGATGCACAGCTTACTGTGCTGAAGGGCTTTGAGAGTGTCGGAGAAGCCGGGAGCGACGCTGCTTTTGCTACTGCTCTTCTAGCAGGGTCACCACCCAAGGCAGAATAACCAAACCGGCCTGAGAGGCACCCACCCTCTTCAGGAGAATCAGCAGAAGAGAATTCATATCCCTGGTCGTGAGGCGGGAGGAGAAACTCCTGAAGGGCAGCTATGGGACAGCAGGGGTGGTTGAAGGTGACACTTGTGGTTGTTGTTAGTCGCGAAGTTGTGTCCGACCCATTGCGACCCCATGGACAACATCCCCCCAGGCCTTCCTGTCCTCCACCATCCCTGGAGTCCACCCAAGCTCACGCCGACTGCTTCAGTGACTCCAGCCAGCCACCTCATCCTCTGCCGTCCCCTCCTTCTTTTGCCCTCAATCCTTCCCAGCATCAGGCGCTTCTCCAGGGAGTCCTTCCTTCTCATTAGGTGGCCAAAGTATTTGAGTTTCATCTTCAGGATCTGGCCTTCCAAAGAGCAGTCAGGGTTGATCTCCTCTAGGACTGACCGGTTTGATCTCTTTGCAGTCCAGGGGACTCTCGGGAATCTTCTCCAGCACCACAATTCAAACGCCTCAATTCTTCGGAGCTCAGCCTTCCTTATGGTCCCACTTTCACAGCCATACATTGCAACTGGGGAAACGATTGCCTTGACTATACGCACTTTTGTCGGCAGGGTGATGTCTCTGCTTTTTAGTATGCCATCTAGATTTGCCATAGCTTTCCTCCCAAGGAGCAAGTGTCTTTTAATTTCTTGGCTGCAGTCCCCATCTGCAGTGATCTTGGAGCCCAGGAGAATAAAATCGGTCACTACCTCCATTTCTTCCGTATCTATTTGCCAGGAAGTGATAGGACCGGATGCCATGATCTTAGTTTTCTTAATGTTGAGTTTCAAATGTGTCAAGCTACAGGAAGCCAGAGGCCAGCTGAACATCAGGAAGAATTTCCTGGTTTTTAGAGCCATGTGGCAATGGAATGCATGACCTCAGGAGGCCGAGGGCTCTCCCACACCGGAGAAATTCACGATGCTGCTGGAGAGCCATCTTCAAGGGACGCTTTAACTTCAGGAGCTGCACTGACCAGGGGGCTGGGCCTGATGGCCTGACCAACCTCTTCCAACTCTACTATTGCATGATTCTGTGCAGCCCTTCTCCTGTACAGACTTTCCCACAAATAAATAAGCTGCACTGCAGATAATGTGATTTACTCTGGACAGACATGTGCTAGTTGCTCCCAGCACCAAAATCTAAGATAGTAGCACTGACTTGCCACCGAGCGTTGTTGTAAGAACTAATGAGGTGATGTACGCGATGCTCGCTGAATGCACTGAAGTGCTATAAAGAATGTATTGCTATTATACTGTTGATGTGGCGACTGCAGTGCTCGTAAGTTATCGTTTTCAGTCTGAGCATCTGCTCCGTCACCTGCAGTGAAAGGGCTCCCAAAGGGCCTTACAGAAGACCAGACGCAAGCCAGACGCTCCTCGCCTCTGACAGACAGAGCAGGAGGGAAGAGGGGGGAGGAGGAGGAACACAAGGAAATTCAAGAAGGAGGCACTGAAGTTGTGCATTTCTTACGATAAGCAGCTTGGATGGAAACTGTTTGATGAATGGAGGAGCTAAACGGGTTTGCCCTAACAGCAGGACCGAAGAAGTGGGCCCCGCTTCTGAGCTCTCCCTCCGCTGCACCCGCCTGGACTGAAGCTGAAGTGACTCCCAATACATTCTCCTTGCGTTGCCTTAAAACTCCTCCTCCTCTAAGCAATCTGCCCACTCAGTGTACTCAGGAACAACGAAGAAGGATCTCGTGGCACTTGAAAAATAACAGGCTATTTCAGCAGAAGCTTTCATAGACTACAGGCCACTTCACTGGGTCCATGAAGCACTCCAGCAATTTCCTCTCTGTAAAAGCACAATGATGACGGGGATAAAAAGGCAGCCCAGCGACGCCCTCTAAGGGGGCGCTGCCTGCCTCCTCAAGGAGTCCAGCAGCCTGAGCCCAAGAGGATGCGAGCACAGTCCTCAGCAAAATTGCATGTGCTGGCAAAGACCTGTTCGTAACACCTTTCAGCATGAAGGTAATTGTGATGCTCAGCAATTCCCCTTAATCTAACCCTAAGAAATAACACCTGGGAAGAGGCTTGCTGGGTTTGTACTTCAGTCCTTTACTTGGCATTCCCCTAGTCAGGAAATGGTGGCTGGAGTCACATGAGACCCACCCAAAATATGTGGCCCAGTTTGCGGGTGGCAACACCTTTGACAGGAAGAGAATCGGGGGGTGCAAAAGCTGCTGAACCGCCACTTGAAACAACCTTGTGTCTTGATCTGGCATCACTGGGGAGGATGGGCCACAAGGACCGTCGCTACCACCCGCGGGCACATCAGTCCGTCAATCCATCCGTCGTCAGAATCTACTAATTTTGCCATTCTTACCTTTGAAAAAATGGAATGTGCCCCAGAAACCTCACCAAAAAAGAGTCAATCCCCTACTTCCCCGCCCCCATTTCAAACCTTAGAAAGGAGTTTTGAAGAGCGCTAGAATAATAGGAGGGGTGGCTTGCACCTCACAGTGTGTCCAATTTCCCGATGTTTCCGGGGGATTTCCCCACGCAAACGCAGTTTGTGCAACGTCCCTCCTCCACACACACAACCCACACACACAACGCGTGGCCTTTGCTGAGGAGGCTGCCGGCTGCACAGCTGGAGGCCCACAAGCACCCGCATCCGCAGGCTTCCTCTCTGCTTGGCTTGCAAGGCCGAGTGCGAGAGGTCGCGGGGGGGGGGGGCTGGGCTTGGCGCAGCTCTGCCATCACCCAAAGAGTCCTTTTCGGGGGTCTCATGACCATGGGATGAGGAGGCACTGTGCTGCCTCCACTTGTTCCCGGACGGCCGATCCGGGAGCCGGAGCTGGGGGACCCCCTGCTTGGCTCGGTGGCTGCTGGCACCTGGGCTCCCGGGAAGAGCCACCTGGCTTCCACGCTCCTTCGTGTCCACAAGAGGTTTAAGCCGAAGCTTCCACGGTGATCTGCTGAAACAGCCCTTCCCCTCTGGATCTCCCAAGAGGCAATGGAAGTGAGAAGCCGACGTCCGAAATCCATTCAAGAACGGCGCAGAGAGACTTGGCGCAGAGGTCTGCCGGTCGGGCGCCCTGGTTGCTCGGGAGCAGTGAATCCACGCGTCTTGAACGATGCTGCACTTTCCTGAAGCACAGGGCCTCTGGGATGTGGCTCTCCTGGGTCCCCATGTGGCAGCGGCAGCAGCAAGGAGTGCCTCGGACGGGTTTTCGCAGGCTCACCAGCTGCACCCCTCCCACGAGAAGATGGGGCTGCTCTCAGCTCTCTGTGCCCCGGCTACTCCCAAGCGGCATCCCTCCAGTGCTTCAGACCCAGCCCACACTGCCGTTGCCGGAGCACACTCGCCCTCCTGTCCCCCCGCTCCCACTGCCTGTTAGTTTCTAGGCTCACTTCAGGGTGGGGGAATTGGCCTTTGGCTGGCTTAGGAGCACGTTGCCTCAAGAACCACCGGGCCCTTCAGATCAGCCCTGGGGGTCCCGCTCTCCATCCAGGCAATGAAAGCCACGAGAGACGGGCCTCTCTGTGCTGGACAAGCCCCTTGGGAATCCCTCCCTCTCGCAACTGTGGACTTCCCCTTGTGCTTGGCCCAGTCCTGGAAGCAAGCTGAGCCAGGAGGAAGCCCGCAAATGCCCACAGACCGCGGCTGCGCAAGTGGCACAGATGCGGCTGCCGCAGGACGCGGAAGAGGGATGCGGCAAGCAGTACCACCAGGCAGACTGGAGCCGGGGGCCCTGAGCCCGTGGATCCATGGATTCCTGCCCCAGGCAGATTCCTCGCACATCCCTGGCAGAGGAGCCACAGCTGTGGAATCCTGCGGGGAGGCATCTGATTGCCGCTTTCCATCTGCTGGCAGATGGCAGCGATTCTTCAGATGGTTTCGGCTAGCTTTTAAAGAGCAGCCACTGCTTTATGCTGCCTTTGATGCTGTACCTACTATTAATAATACTTCTAACAGCTGTATCTTTGTAGTTCGTTTTGTTATATTCCATCAATTTCATCGTAAGCCACTTTGACTATTCTTTTACTAGAACATAGGACATAAACCTTAACTAATCAAAACAAAATGAGAAGCGGGGGAGTGCAAAGGTGATCGTGTTGAACTGGGGCTCAGGAAGATTTAGGAAAGATGCAGAAAAATGAGAAAGGGTCCCGAGGAGGAGGACAAAAATGATCCAGGTTTTGGAAACGCTGCCCTGTGAGGAGAGACTGGGGGAACTGGGCATGTTCAGCCTTGAGAAGAGAAGATGGAGTGGGGACATGATATCCCTTTATAAGTCCCTCAAAGGCTGTCACAAAGAGGAAGGCCAAGGTCTCTCCTCGCTGATCCCAGAGTGCAGGCCTCGGAATAATCAAGTCAAGTTGCAACAACCCCGATTCAGGTTGGGCATCAGGAGACGCTTCCTCACTGTCCGAGCAATGTGACAGTGGGACCAGCTGCCTGGGGAGGTGGGGGCTCTCCCACACGGGAGACATTCAAGGGGAAACTGGGCAGCCCCCTGAGTGGGATGGTGTAACGTGGTGTCCTGCAGCAGCAGGGGGTGGACTAGATGGCCTTCGTGGCCCCTTCCAACCCTACTCTTCTGTGATTCTAAGTGGGGATTCTAGTCCCTCCTCAACCAGAAAGCTCTGTGGGTGATGTTGGGCCAGGCACACTCAGGGTTGTTGTGAGGCTCAACGGAGAGGACGAGGAGGGCGGCATAAGCTGCCTTGGGTCTTCAGAGGAGGAAGAAAGGCAGGCTATACATGTAATAAAACGAACAAAGCAAGACAAGACTCGCCACGACACGTGCGCTTTTGGCCCCACCACCACCTCTGGCCAAACCAAGTCTCACGGTCCTTTGCAGACAACAGACAACTGCCACACCTGCCATGCACACGCCAACGATCGTCCTCCGTTTTTCAAGGATGCCAGCGCAGCACGGGGTTTTTTAAAACATGGTTTTAACTATGCTGCTACTACTTTCATTTTACGCATTGTTTTATGATTTCTTAAAAGATCTTGGCTGCCACTCTTGTGTTGCTTGGGGGGCTGTGGAGCTGGAGGAAGCTCGCCCCTCCTCACTCGCTTCTTCTCTGATTGCACGCTTTTATCACCTCGTAGCCAAAGCGTTCTAGGTGGTTCACAGAAGTTAAATCCAGAAAATATATCAACATGATAAAATTTTTACAAGCTTGAAACGGTCGTACAGACCTACGGGAGAAGTTAGCAGCAGTAATAACACAACCACATGTTTAACAAGAGCGAAACCTCAAGGATGGCAATGGCCCGGAGAGCAAAACCATCTTCTTCATTTGGCATGAAGGACATCGCAAGGCAGGCATCCAACGAGCCTCTCGCCCCTGAGGGGCCCCTCCTGAGCAGCCACCCAGTTCCCTCGGTGGACGGGCGGCGCAAAGGCCAGCGTCCCTTGTGGACAGAGCTCCAGCACTGTTTTAACTCCTTCATGAGCCATGCCACCCTCCGTCACCACCACCCGCCCCTGGGAAGAACGTCGTGGCACGGGGACAGCCAGCCTCGCCCCATCCCACGTCTCCCGCCCTCGGCAAGAGCGCTTCCTCGGCTCCAGCGGCCTGCTGCCCTGCGGCCGAAGAAGTGAGCGGAAGCACAGCTCTGCAGCAGGGCAGGGGAGGAAGGGCCGGCGGGTTAGTTGCAGCACTGGGAGAGCATGGATCTTCACCTGGGCAAGGGAAGATCCTCCTCGCCACAACGGGATATAACCGCTGGCTCACAAGGAACCGCTTTGTTCTGGCGATGCAAAGTCTCCTTCCCGTATCATTTCTCCCTGCTTGCCTGTCCATGTGTGTCTTGACTTCTTCGTTGGTAAGTATGAGGGCCGGATCAATCCTTCATTTTTAATTGATGTCAACTGCTTTAGGAGATAATTACTGTCTCAAAACATAGTAAAATGAATAAATAAATAATCCTAGGCAGGCCCAAGAGCTAAGTTGGTAGGGCAGGCCATACGAATCCTCACTGAATAGCTATTTATCTTAGCGGCACTTGGCTTCAGACAAGGCGAGGGGAATTCCAAAAGCAGAAACTGAAGCCCAGTTCATCCTGAAATTCTTCTGCCTCGCATTTCCCTAGAACGAGCTGCACTGCCCGTATATCCTGCCAAGCGTCTGTTCCGCTTTCTGCTTTCATTAGGCAGGCCCTTCGAAAGGAAAGGAGCGAGTCCAGGGGGTTTTGAGCAGGAAGGCGTGTGACACAGTATCTCCTTCCTTCTACAAAACTTTTTAAGTTTAGTGCCCGGATTCACAGGCGCAGCAGCCAGAATGTTGTTCTAGGCTTAATCATCCCTAGCATGGAAAAAGGGGAAAGCGATTGCTCTGTCTTCTGTCTGAAATCTGACATTAATGACTCTCTAGCGTCTTTTTTAAGGCCATGAGGATGATGAATAGAAAGTCCTTACCAGAGAGAGAGTGATCGTACTCATAGGGTCCCATTATGAAGTGAGGAAGAGCAAGGATGCATCCAGCCAGGGAGACCAGGATGGCGCCGCAGCCAATGAAGCGAGGCCTGTGGACCCTGCTCCCAAAGTAGCTCACAAAGATGATCAGCATCGTGTTTGGCACCTGTGCGATGAGACCAGAGTCTGAATGCCTCTCAGAGGGCTGGAGAAACTGCTTTCTTATGAAAGCCAGGGGGAAAACGACGCACGCGTCAAAGGAGGTACCTCGTTGAAGGAGGCCACCATTCCGGATGTCTGGCTCGAGAGTCCAAAACGCTTCTCGATGCTTGAAATGGCGCTTCTCACGTAGCCAGAGGTCAGCAACTGAGAGAGCTGCAGGAATCCCTGACATACAACAAAGAACTGCAGGGGTTGGGGTTGGGGTTGGGGTTGGGGTTGGGGTTGAGGTTGAGGTTGAGGTTGAAGTTGGGGATGAGGTTGAGGTTGAGGTTGAGGGGGGAGGGAGGGAGGGAGGGAGGGAGGGGGAGAGAGATGCCTGAAAAGCCAAGTTTAACCTCAGAACCTGAGTGTGCCCTGCCAGTGTTCTGTGTCCCCCACATGCTGGGAACACCCTACGTTCTGCTCTTTCTTTTTCGCATTTCATCTCATACCATTTTGGCAGCTCTTGCTCACTCAGACCGTATTTGCCCTCCTTGAACACTCCCACCCCAAAGTGGCCAGTTTTATTTATACCAAAACAGGAGATGCAGGTAGCAGCTACCTATCCAAAGTCAAAGGTCTTTTCTTCCTAGGAATTTGCATAGGGAGGAGGTGTGGGGGATTGATGGGGGGGGGTGCACAATACATACTTTGATAGTGTGAAATGGGTTTCTGCAGGATATTCTTCTGAGCAGACCACTTTTAATTTCGTCAGCCATCTTCTGCCGCTGGAAAAGAGAGATTGTACCATTACACGTGCCGAGGCATTCCCCCTCCTTCAGCACAACGCAGCACCCGTTCACCAGGAAAGCAGGAGCGACAGCAAGGCTGATACAAAAGCATGTTCTGGGAATCCATCTGTTTAGTTATTTACAGTGTTTCACACCAGTCCATATCCAGGTTGGGTCTGCATGGAACCAGCGGGAGAATGCCCTCCAACGGCCCCATTGAGCAGGCAGGTTGGTGCAGGAGAAGTTGCTTTCCTGGGTATCCGGGCCCCAACTTGTTCAGGACTTTGTGAGCTATCGTTTGAACCCTAAACCTGACCCGGTAGTAAACAGGCAGCCAGTCAAGGAGGAACTGCACTATTCACTAAGCAAGCTCTTTGCCAAGAGTAAGGGTACTCCTCCCGCATTCCTGGGGTGCGTTAAACAGCCGTGGCCAGCGTGCACGCGAAGCCCAGCGAGGCACCGCACGCTCGTTTCCTCTCCCCTGCTTCTGAGAACCCGCTGGGGAAGGGGAGCAATTCAGAGTGAAAACAGCCTTTCCAGAGAAAGAGTGAAAGCACGCAGTCCCTGCAGTCCCAGCGCCAAACTGCCTGCTCCTCGTGCGCTTTCATTTGAGGCACAGCGGCAGGGGACCTTTGCCCCACGAGCTGCCCCAAAGCACCCCGGCAGCCACACGGGAGATCCTGGAAGGAGACACGCGCCTTCTGATGCACTGCCAAAAGCCGCCTCTTTCCATTTCTATAAAGACATCATCGCACGGTTTGGGATCTGATGCATCATACCTCATTCCCTCCTGCGTGACTCTATTTCCCCTTGAGGATGGGGAAATTGAGAGCCTAATACAATTTGGGCCACATTTCTGTTGTCAAGCTCGAGCTTGTCAAGACAAGCAGAACTGGACTAAACCATTTTGCTTCTTGAGGAGAAAAATAAATGAACAAAAGGCGCACATCCAAGAGCACAAGCTGTAGCGCACCAGTCGGCGCATGAGAACAGCTTTCATCCTGCATAAAGAGCTGTAACCCTCTCGGGCCCAGTTCACTATAGGCACAGAATTCCACAAAGGGGGACTGAAATGGAAAGAGCCCTGACTAGTCACCCCCCACAACCTCCCCACTGCTGTGTTAATGCCAAGGGCCCAATCCTGAGCCAGTTTAGACAGGAAAAGGCCCTGCCGCTCCCTGCATACCTGGGAGTTTTGCACCGGATCGCGCCCTAAATAGACCTGTGGCCCATCCATCCACTTCCTGCCTTCTTCCAAGGGGCTCAGAGCGAGATCTCCCATTCCCACAGCCCCGTGCAGCAAGTTCGGCTGGAGCGTGGCAACTGCCCCAAGATCCCCGAGAAGCTGCATGGCCGAAGTGCAGCCGGGCTCGCTGCCAGCCCCGCTCCCTGCACACCTGAATCGTTCCCTCTGAATGGCAGAGGCCCCCCGGGTCCCAGAAGCATGTGCTGCTGTCTGCTCACTGGTGATGCCGGGCTGGGCCCTTCTGAAGACAAAGCACATTCTCCATCACTGAACCGTGGCCCTTCTGCATGTGTAGCTTTCGCACTGTGAGCTTTGTTGGCCCTTCAAAGCAGAAGAGCCTGTCTCTGCAGACAGTGGGATGGACGGATGGACAGACGGACGGACAATTGGCCAGAAGTTCCGCTCCACAAAAACGGATGGACCCAGGTCTTTGCTTCTCAGGAAGCAGGTCTTCCCAGCAACCAGGTCTTTGCTTCTCAGGAAGCTTTTCCACTAGAAACACAAGGGATGGCATTTCTTCCCAGTGGATGAGAATAACCTTTCAGCTGCATCAGCTGTGGTCATGATGAAAAATCCTGGTTTGATGCTCCACAGCCCTTCAGATGGAGGTTTGGCAGAGCCTGAGCATTTCCCAGAAGAAATGTGAGGTTTTTAGAACATTTCAGTTTTTCTTTAAATAGAAGGGTAGGAATGGGGCAACTGTTGCTTCATGAGTAAACAGAGAAACATCGAGAGCGAATCAGGAGGGGTCCCCTGGGCCATCTAGTCTGACCCCTGGCTCCAGCCAGCTCCGCTCACGACATGTCACATTCTCTCCCCAGAGGCACCATTTACAGACTAGATAAGGAGCAAAGCTATTGCAACAGCAGATACATCCAAGATGCAGCTGCAAGAAGAAAAGGGGCTGCTTATTTTGGGTTCGATCCAGGTGACATTTGTTGCACATAGCAATGAACTTAGTTTAGATCCAACCATTTGGGGAATCAGTTGTGGCTACATATGTGTATAGCTCAAGGGAGTGAGTGAATGCGAGAAACAATCACATTTGACCAGAAATTATGGGGGGGGGGTGGGAATTCATCCGGCCCTCCCTCACGGTCTCTCAACCTTCCCACACGCAGGATTTGCGCTATGCGGAGTCATGCAGGAAGGAATTATGTCCGGCATGGAAGAGTGCTTTTTTGGACAGCGAGCGTGACCTGCGTGCTCCGTACGGAGGCTTTCCACAGGAATCCCAGGCCCTGAAAGACAACTATTAGGCAGGGACCACCTAATGAGAGCAGTGACTAACAGCCCGACAAAAGGCTCAGCGGCAGCAGAATGTGCCCTTCTAAGAAAACAAAACATATATAAATCTTCCAGCCATTTGACCTTATCCACCACAAAGTCATGCAGCTAACGGCTTGCAGGGAAACATTTAAAAGTACTGGCGTATTTTGCAAGGTATTCCAGGGTGATAGGATTAGCCACGGTTTTCCTTTGAAAGAATTCGGAATGGAAGGGCTTTCATAGCCAAGAGAGATTAATGGACACAAACCCTTGTAAATGTGTAGCCAGGAACAACAACAAAAGCAGACCATAATCCTTGCAAACGTCGGGAATCCTGTAAATATACTTTCAGAGTGGCTGGATTGGACTCACTGGATCAAAAACAGTATAATTTGAGGCAGTTTACCACACGAACCAGCAGAACCGTGGTATATACAATGATGTGCTCCTGGTTGAAATTATGGGTGGGCTCACAGGACACAACAAGGCAGGCTGGTTTCTTGTGCTGGGTGGTCTCTTGCATGTCTGGTCCCTGTTGTGATATTCAGCATGGAACATTGATTGATTGATTGATTGATTGATTGATTGATTTTCAGAAGCCACCATAAGCAGCAATGGTCTCTTCTACAGCTTCCATGTTGCACCATGACTTCTCCTGTCCTCCAAGCCTAGTGTCGTGGTCTTGGGCGTCCCGGTGTGCTGCTACCACGGAGTCCCCTGGAGAGAGTGGCAGCTGCAGCAACTGCTCCAGCACGGGGCTGATGGAACAGGACAAGGAGCTGGAAACCACGCTAGTGTAGAAACCACTGGGCCATCTGTCAGGCACAGCTAGGAAAGGAACACCACACACCATGGAAACCACCCAGGGTTGCTTGCCATGACATGTGTGTGGGCACGGTGTCCCAAGCTCTCCAGAAGAGAACTGGGGACCATCTTGGTAATCTCAGGAAGAAAAGGACTGGCACTCAGTCAGTCGTTTTATAAGAACAAGAACACAAGGCCATGGATGTGAAATTCTGGGCAGAGAATGGGAAGTCCTAACTGGAAAACAAAGAGGATGGATTTGTAACTTAACTCCTAGCTCTTTGAGGCCCCCATGAGGAGACAGATGCTACCCCTCTACTGTGCTTGGGACCTTGTCTTTGGAGAACCTCCCCCTCTGTGCAGTAAGACTTTGAAATGGTCCATGACATTCAATTTCAAGTTACGAGTAACACCCCTGAAGCGGACTGATTGCTTTTGTTCTGTGGTACACCCTGCATTTCCTTTCAACCGCAATCTCACCCGCCTATCTTCAAATAAATGAGCCAGTCCTGACAGAGTTCTCTGAAGGCTTTGTAAGATTTGTAAGCACGCAAATGGAGTCTGCATGATTTTATACGGTCTGTGCAATCTTTGCACATTCAGTCTTTGCCTATTTTGTTTATGACACACGAGCAAGGTGGTTGTGAGGGGCTAGAGAGCATCTAGGGGAGACCGGATTCTTTGGAGTCCCAGATTCAAGCTAGGGGTAAGGGTAGGGTAGATCCCCTCACAGCAGCGAATCTGCACTCAGATTCCTTTGCCTGCTGTTGCGGCCGGTGCAAAAGGAATCATGCTGGTCGCTTCTCCAATATATGAGAGTGACCCTGGAAGAAGAGGTGAAGGGGGCAGCCTGGGGACAGGGAGCTGCATCTCGAAGGTGCTCCAGCCGCCTTCCCTCCCCATTCAAGGCACTGGAACCGGATGACCAAAACCAGCTGTCCAGCTGGCAGGCAGGCGGCAGCAGCAGGGAGGCCAAGACTGCCCCCGCTTTCCTCCTCCAGAGGATGCCCATAATCCTGCACACTCGTGCCTTAAAATGAAGCGTTGCCTCTGCAAAGCCCCTGTGGAAGAACATAAAACAGTGGGCTGAAATGTGCCGTGCTTCCTAAAGAATAAAGCATTTTTCCAGCACCGTTGATGCTTTCCATTTTTCTTACCCTTAATGATGCAAGACAAGCGTGTCACTGATACTGGAGCCTCTACAGAGATTCCATAACCTCTTCAGACAAAGGAGGCTTATAACTCTAAGGAGTACGGTCTTCACAACCTGCCTGTGACTTTCCAGAGCCAATTGGCAGCCTGCTGTGAGAAAAGAATTGCAGCGGGATTGCATCTTAGCACTGTGCCGCTCTCCTTGTTTTAATCAAGTGCCCCAAAGATAGCGGAGCCTTGCTCGGCCACTGCACCCAACACGGATGAGCTCCAGGGTACACACATTGACCCAGCTCGCGGGGTCGGGCTGTGGCCAAGCCACGGTGTCACATGCCGGCCGGGCTTTCCTGAGTGCCCCCGCTGCCGAGGCTCGCTGGGGGAGAGGGAGGCAGCCTCCGAACCACCCCTGTGCTGCTGTTGGGCTATCTGGGGACGGCTGCCCCACCGCCTCCCAGCAAGTCACGCTGCCTGGCTTGGATGATGTGGCAAACCATGTCAGCGAAGGGAATTACAGAAAACTGGCCAGCATGTGTGCTGCGCAGGAAACAAGGAGCTTCTCTTGTAGCAACTGTGTGAACCGCCCCCGTGTCGAAAGGCGAGTCTTCCAGGGATTGCCCTGCAGAGCTAAAGCTCCAGGCAAACTGACTCATTAATGCAATTAAATTGACTGTGCAAACATCCACAAATTACTCACATGTAGCTAATTAAAAAGGGTGAGAATGTTCACAGTG